GATCACAGGAGGCGCGTGGCTCCGCCCACAGCCAGGCCGCCGTCGGAGGGATGGGTCCCCTGCCTCTGGCTCCAGCCCCCGCCCGCCGTGACGCACCGACGGGGCCCGGGAGGAGGGCCGCCTTCCCGCCGGAGCCTGCACCGACCCGTGTTTCTGACCAACAGGCCGCTGTACAACCTCTGCCAGATGTTTCCTGAAGCTGCGAGCGAGGCCGTGCGGTTTGTGCTCCGAGACGCCATGCACGAGATGGAAGGGGCGGTCGAGGCCAAGGGCCGGGCCGCGTTCCCGGGGCTGGACGTGGTAAGCAGGCTCGTCCCCCAGGCCGGGCCTGCGGCTCCAGGGGCCCCGTCTGTCCAGCTCCCACAGCCACCAGCCCCCGGGGCTCAGCGGCCGTCCCCTCGGGTGGCCTGGACGGTCCGGCCGGTGACGGTGACCTGACACGTGTTCGTCAGAGAGTGCGTGTGAACGGGCACGTTCGGTCTTCACGGCACAGGCTTAAGGCAGGAAGGAACGGCTTTCAGGGAGACCACGCCGAGGGCTGGCGTCGCTCCGTGTCTGTGCCACTCGGGACACGACAGTTTGGGAAGCTGTGGCGGCTGTCAGTGGTAGTGAGTCTCACTCAGTTACTCCGTTCTCTGGACTCTGTGCTGGAAGGGCTGAGCCACAGGCAGCAGAAACTTAAACCCAGAACGTGTGGCTCATCATTGGTGGCTCTCACAGGCTCCCCAGGAGGGTCTGAGCTTGTGTCCGTGGCGCTGCTGGTGACTTCGTTCTGTGAGCCTCACCCAGTTTCCATTCCTCACGGCCGCCCTGGTAATTCCTGGAGCCCTGGCCAGGGAGACCCCATCTGCCTCCTCGGAGCCTCTTTCTAGCCGGAGTATTGGGGGCCAATAGCAGGCCTAGCAGGCTGCCTGGTCTTCCGCCCGCCCCTTCATGTGAGCTGCGGGCCTGGCCTCCTGTCGGGAAGGGGTGCCCATGGCGGGTGCCGGAGCTGTGCCTGCCCCGTGGCCCCTGAGAGGCCCCGCTTGTCGCCTAAGACAAAACGTGCTTCTTGGGAGCGTGCAGGAGGCAGCTTCCTGCGTGGAGACGGTACTGGCTCCCCCCTCCCTGGGACTCAGCTACCAGGGGTGCCCACCCGGCGCCCCACCTGCTCGGACACATTTGCGCCCTGCGCCTGTCAGTCACCAATGCTGATGCCAGGGCAGACCGGGAGCTGCCAGGAAACACTGCCGAGAGGGCGGGCCGTGGTCAGAGCCTTGTGTCCTGACGAGCTGAGGGCTGGGACTCAGCTGGGGACGGCGGAGCCCAGGAGAGCGTTTAGGGAACGGCCTGCCGCCCCCCCGCCCAGCCGCCCTCGGTCTCCTCGGCTGCCGGGGGCCGCTGCCGGTCCTCGAGGTGGACTCGGCTTGTGGTCCCCCGGGTGTGTGAGGCTGGCCCAGGAAGGCTGCTTCCCTCCGGGCGGGCGCCGAGAGCCTGGGGCTGCTTCCCTGAGCCTTGGGGCCTAAAGGGCTGTGGGTGCGGGCAGCGTGACCTCTGCCCAGCCGTGGGCTCAATGCCCAAGACGGCCGGCCGGGACAGGGCAGCCTCCTCGTGGGCCCCTCCCGCCGCCACCTTCCAGAGGAGCCCGGGAGCGGGGGACAGCCGCCGTGGGGGCCCAGGGGCAACTCTGCTCTGACCGGGCGGGGTCAGACGTTCTGCCCCTGCTCCGTGTATGGGCGGGACTCGAAACGGCCTCCTCAGGGCTGGAGGCCGGACCTGAAACGTCCTCGATCGTTACTCTTTGTGGGTCCCCTTTCCTTGCAGCTCGTTTATTTGAAAATTGCTGGGCTGCTGTTCCCAACCTCTGACCTCTGGCACCCCGTGGTGACGCCTGCGCTGGTGTGCCTGAGCCAGCTGCTCACCAAGGTACGTCCTGCCAGAGCCGGGCGAGGGTCCAGGGGCGCGCAGCCCGGCGGGGCGGCAGCTCACCCGAAAGGGCCCAGGGGGAGGTGTTGGCGCCGCGGTCAGTGGGGGGACCCAGAAAACCCCCTTTCCAGGTCTGACAGGGGTCCTGGGCCCCTTTGGCTTCACATGTCCAAACTTCCTTTTTCCGGGCCGGGTCTGGGCCGGGCACGCAGGCGGGCTCGCCCTCAGCTGGGGAGCAGGTGGTTGGCGTCCGGACCACGTCCAGACCCTCGCTGGGCTGTCCCTCTGCAGTGCCCCGTGCTGTCCCTCGCGGACGTGGTGAAGGGCCTGTTCGTGTGCTGCGTGTTCCTGGACTACGTGTCCCTGTCGCAGAGGTTCATCCCCGAGCTGGTCAACTTCCTCCTGGGCGTCCTGTACGTGGCAGCTCCCAACCAGCCGGGCCCAGGTGCGCTGCGGCTCGGGCAGGCGTTGTGCTGGGATTAAAGCTGAAAGGATTCATCCTCCGGCGATGCGGGACATGGAAGAGCGGGCGGAAGAGACACCTGAGCCGCCCGCCCATCGCCAGAGGGGCACCCTCTGCTGGGCATGGGGTGGGGGTGGCGGAGAGTGAGCCCTGACCCTCAGGCACTGTCCTGTCCCCTTGAATCCAGGCTGCACGCTGGTGCCCCCTTTCAGGCCTCGGGGGAAGCACTCGGAGCTGCTCGTGGTGTCTGACGAGGGGGACGCGGCCACGTGGCAGACGGGGAGCCTGTCCCTCCGCTGGGCGAGCGCCCGGTGCACCCAGACCGAGGCAGAGGCCAACCACACCAGGTACGTGCGGTCTGGCGCCACCCAGGGCCCACACCTCAGGTGCCCACTGCATCTCCGTGGTGCCAGGATCTTGTGTGGAGAAGCTGTTAGGTCTAACCATTGACCTTACAAAGCACAGGGCACAGGGTTTGCAAAAACCAGCTCGTTTATCCCCTAACGATTGCCGTGCGGGAGCAGCAGGGAGAAAACTAACCTCCGGGCCTGCGCTGTCTGCGCAGTGGCCCAGGCGGGGGCCCAGGCTGGTTCCCACCACAGCCAAGGGACCAGCGCCCCGCAGCCGCGGGGGCCACCAGCAGGCAGGAGGCGGTGCCTCAGGGCTGGGCTTAGTACGTTTCCCTGGGGGAGGCCGCGCACTTTCCTCAGCCTGCGGCCACCTGTCCGTCCGAGACCTGACGGCACTGCTCCCGCAAAGCCTCCCGCGGCATTGCTGTCGGGATGTGCTGCTCGGCCGGCGGGCAGTGCTCCACCTACCGGGCCGCTCCGGGCCACCGCCTCCCGGCCTGCGCTCCCCGCGCTGCGGCCCGCGGGGCTCAGTGTTGAGTATTGGCCGGTGCCTGTCGCCCGCAGGCTGTCCTGCCTGGCCGTGTGCCTGGCCCTGGTGAGGCGCTGTGTGCGCCTGTACGGCACGCTGCCCGCCTTCCACGACCTCATGCGGCCGCTCCGAGCCCTCCTGGCGCAGCACCTGGCCGGCGGCCACCACCCCCGCGAGCTGCAGGTGAGGCTCCCGGGGCGCGGTCCCGCTCAGCCCTCCCGGACGGGCCTGTCAGCGGCACTTTGGTCCTTGGCTGCACCCCGCAAGTCAAGGGCACTCACCGTGCTTGTGAATGAGGAGCTGAGTCAGTGCTGGGGACCCCGAGAAAGAGCTGCTGCTGCCCAAGGCTGACTGGGGTGTAAGCCGAGAACTGTCCCATCACCTCCCCACTGCCCACCGGGCCAGCCGCCGCCTCGGGGACTGCGTTCTGCAGCACGGCCGCCCCAGCATGTGCTGTGGCGTCTGCCCCAGGCGGTGGCCCGAGAGCACACCTGTCCCCCTGCGGGAGGCTGAGGTGGCTCATCCCTTAGTTGAAGCGCGCCCTGGCTCTGCCCTGCGGATTGGGGGGGGGCTCGGGGGCACTGCGCTTGTACCTGCGCGTGGTCCTCAGGGACCTCCAGGCGGCCAGGGCTGTGCCTGCGGAGCAGGAAGCCTGCCTTCCAGGACCACTGCATGGGGGAGGCAGGAACGCACAGCAGCAGGCTGGCTTCTGAGAGCCCGTTGGAGCTCGGTCAGCTCCTGGAAGGCCAGGACGCAGGTGCTCCTGTTGGAATGAACGTGGCCTCAGATCACAAAGCCCGGTCCTGCTGCGTACTCTCTGGGAAAGAAGAACCGTCCTTGGCTCAGGGCTGGCAGCACAGGCTGCCTGGCAGAGCCCCGCCCCCACCAGCAAGGTGCCGCTTCCATCAGGGCCTCCCGCCTGTGAGCGCAGGTGGAGCCTTCTCCTGCCAAGGGCATGTGGCCATCATTCCCGGGCCACACAACATCAGCTCAGAACCACCTACTCTGTCAGATGCTTCATAGCTCACCCTGGTGCCTCGGCAGGGCCAGGCCAGGCGATTTCTGTGTCTCGTATGATTCCTCACCCCATTCCTCAGCGGAGGAGGGCAGGCCTGGGCGGGGTGGGCAGGTCCCTCCCTCCGCCTCTGAGGCTGCACAGCCTCCCAGAGGAACTGGAGAGGCACCTGGGCCGGCAGCACGTTTCCTGGCAGGAGCTGTGTCGGAGCGCCCTGGCCGACATAAAGGCCCAGGAGAGGCGCTACCAGCCCCTGGTCTGCGAGAGGAGCAAGCCTGTGCCCCTGAAGCTGTTCACCCCCCGGCTGGTCAAAGTGTGAGTGCAGCCCCTCCACAAGGCCCTCCGTGGAGTGCCAAAATGGCACCCTACCCCCAGGGGTCAGGTGTGGGTGCAGCCCCCCAACACGGTACCTGCCCCTAACAGCACCCAGCCCAAGGGGTCAGTCAGGTGTGGGTGCGGGCCCACCAGCAGTCCTGGGCCTGACTCCGGCTCTGCTCTAGGCTGGAGTTTGGGAGGAAGCAGGGCAGCACGAAGGAGGAGCAGGAGCGGAAGAGGCTGATCCACAAGCACCGGCGGGAGTTCAAGGGCGCGGTGCGGGAGATCCGCAAGGACAACCAGTTCCTGGCCCGGACGCAGCTCTCGGAGATCATGGAACGGTGAGGCCGCCCCGGGGCCGTGGGCGGGGAGCCGCGGCTGCCTCCCTGCGCCCTGTCCTCCAGGGCTAACCCGGGCCTCTCCTCTCAGGGACGCCGAGAGGAAGCGCAGGGTGAAGCAGCTTTTCAACAGCCTGGCCGAGCAGGAGGGCGAGTGGAAGGCTCTGAAGAGGAAAAAGTTCAAAAAATAAATGGTTGTGTCCTGTCCCTCCTGGACTTCTGTTCCCGTTCCAGCGTCTCCTGAACGCGCGCTGAGAGCACATGCTGTGAACTAAATGGGTCCATCGAGTTCAGACCAGCCTGTCGGTCACAGTCTGGGCTGAGGGGGACTGGCGGGACTGGCGGTCATTTTTATCTGGCTGTCGTTTTTGCCTTTGTGAATAGAATGCAGTGTTGTTTCACATTATAAACTATATTTACAAAGTAAGCAAGTCTTCGAACAGTCCAGAAATCAGAGAAGGAAGAAATCACCCACGACCCAGCCCCACGACCGGCAGTCCCGAGGTTAGTCTGCCTGGCGCTGAGCGCTGGGACGCGCACTGACCCCCGGAGCTGAAGGTTAGGGAGGCAGTGACCTGTCCCGGGGGAAGGTCAGAGGCTACAAAAGGGAGCAGGGCTCAGCCGGGAGCTCGGCCAAAGACACCTCGGCGGACGTGCAGTCTGGGGAAAGAGCTAGTGGGTTTCCATCTGTTACAGGTGGAACGGCTGTACATGAGGCGTAAGTGAAACGGCTATTTTCCTGATTTGGCTATCCTATATAATAAAGGATAATATGCAAACTAACTGAACGATGGGACAGCCAGTGGCTGTGGTGCACTGGCCACCAGGCAATGCGCCAAGGACGTCCACTCGGACTTCCGGGGGGGGGGGGGGGGCAGGCCCAGGTGGGGGACCCGCCCCAGTGCACCAGGGTTAGAATAAAGGGGGTGTGGTTGATGGCACGGTGGGCTGCAGCACCTGTTGGCCTGGAAGAACTTCAGGTCCTAGAATCCCCTCCCACTTGTTTACGGTTGGGGTTGGCCACACGTGGGCGTGCCAGGCGCGTGTCCAGAGCTGCTCCGGCTGCCCTGGCTGCCCCGGGCCGGGTGCCTGCGCCCCGCCGCCCCCTGGGGCCCGTGGGCATCACTGGTCGCTGCGGCCTGACCTCCGTCCCTTCGTCCTCACCTGCCGGGGCTTCAGACTCAGCACCCGATGCAGAAGGAACGGTCCCGCCGAGCCCGTGTGGTCACACCCACGTGTGGTCACACCCACGGGCCGTGCACACGCGCCGCGATGTCCGCCCAAGCCCGGCGCTGCCCGCGGTGACGGCTCGTCCCAGGCCCCGAAGCGGGACGCCCCACGGCCCCGCCGGCGGAGGACCCGCAGCCCAGGCCCTCGGGAGGGCGGGTCGCCCCTCGGGCAGAGGGAGGGGCGGATGGACCAGCCCCGCCAGCCGTCAGCAAGCGCCGGGCAAGGGTCCGGGCCGCGACCAGCGTGCGCCCTGCGGGGAGGCCCGGCGGCCGGAGTCGGCGGGGTCAGGGGTCGCCGCCCGCAGCCGAGCGCCCGGACCGCAGGCGCCCGGACCGCAGGCGCCGACGCAGGCGCCGGACCGCGGGCGGCGGGCGGCGGGCGGCGGGCGGCGGGCGGCGGCCACGCGCAGGTAGAGACTGACAGCCGCACGGACAGCGCCGCCCGGAAGAAGGGCGTGTGCGTCACTTCCGGGGCGGGCTGGTGGGCGGTGCCTGCGCGCCGCCCCGCCCCCAGCGGCGTGCCTGGCGGTCCTTTCCGCATCCCTCGGTCCAGCGGCCTTTGGTCCGTCTGTTCATCCCGGCGCGGCGCGGCAGGTGCGGGCGGGGTCCCCGGAGTCCCGGGAGGCGAGCCCGGACGGGGCGGGGCGGGCGGGGGCTGTGTTCTCCCTCCGGGCGCAGGGACCCTCCCCGCGTCCGCCCGGGCCGCAGAGGTCCCGCCCTCCTCCGGCCTCAGTTTCCCTTCCCGCTCCACACGAGGACGCGGGGGCGGCTGCGTGGTACGCGGTGCCGCCCGTGGCCGCGATGCCTCCACCCCGAGCCCTTGGGACGGTTGGCCTCGGTGGCTGCGGTTTCCTTGCGCAACCTCCGCTGCCCCAGGGTCTGGGAGGCGCACCGAGGGGCCCCAGGGTGCTCACTAGGGTGTTGGGGGCCTGGCAGGGGCGGGAGGACTCAGTTTCCCCCTTGGTAGGGTAGGTGTCGGGGCTGTGGTAACCAGAGGTGCTGTGCAGACCGCCACACCTCCCTCCCCACGGGATCGGAACGCCCTCATCATGGACTCCGGAGCTGGTGGGAGCTGCACCCCGCGCCCACCCATCCGCCAGCAGCCGGCGTCCGAGACCCGCGTGGTCACTGTGGTCTTCCTGGGCCTCCTGCTGGACCTCCTGGCCTTTACTCTGCTGCTGCCCCTGCTGCCCGGGCTGCTGGAGAGCCACGGCCGAGCCCATGTGAGCCACTCCTCACCCCTCCACCCGATGCCTGACCCACGGTGGGTGCCCACTCCCCGGCTCTCATGCTCCCTGTCCCCCAGGACCCTCTCTATGGCTCCTGGCAGCGAGGGGTGGACTGGTTTGCTGCAGCCATCGGGATGCCCGCAGAGAAGAGATACAACAGCGTCCTGTTCGGAGGTGCGGCCCTGAGCCCCAGGCTGGAGCCCCTGGTCCTATCTTCCTGGCCCCTCTGTCTTCCCTCCCCGGCTCCCATCAGCCAGGTCCTCCCTCCTCCACACCCCCTTCCTCCCGCACCATCTGCTCCCCCTCAGTGTCCACTCCATCATAGCCACCGTGGCTGAGGCCCATGGCCCCGGAGCGCTGGGCCAGGTCAGCAGGCCCTTGGGGACGGAGACGGAGGTGTGTGACCCTGACTCTGTCTCCTGCAGGTCTCATTGGCTCCGTCTTCTCAGCCCTGCAGTTCCTCTGGACACCGCTCACGGGGGCCGTCTCCGACTGCCTGGGGAGGCGCCCGGTGATGCTGCTGTCGCTGGTACGGGTGCCTCTGGGGTAGTACCTGAGGGGCCAGCAGTTCTGTGTCTAAGCCAGGCTCTGGGGACACTGGGGACACAAGCCCTTGGGTGCTGCAGAGCAGGGTAGGGACCCAGGGGTGCTGTGGGCCCCAGTCAGCCTCTCCTGGCCTGAGGTGACCGCACATCCCCTTGGCTCCTGCTCCGACAGGCAGGTCTGGTCACCTCGTACGCTGTATGGGCCTCTTCGGAGAGCTTCGCCGCCTTCCTGGCCTCCAGGGTGATTGGCGGCATCAGCAAGGGGAACGTCAGCCTCTCCACAGCCATCGTGGCCGACCTGGGCTCTCCGCCCGCCCGGAACAGAGGCATGGTGGGTGCACGTGCTGGGGGTGGAGGGCCAGGAGGGGTGGAGGGCCTGGCCTCCCTCCGGACTCGGTGGCTTCTCCCCAGGCAGTCATCGGAGTGGCCTTCTCACTGGGCTTCACGCTGGGCCCCATGCTGGGCGCCTGCCTCCCGCTGCAGCTGGCACCCTGGCTCGCCCTGCTCTTCGCCGTCTCCGACCTACTGTTTCTCTTCTGCTTCCTGCCGGAGACCCTGCCCCCAGAGAAGCGGGTACGGAGGAACCCAGAAACTACCAACAGGTCCCGGCCCTGGGGGTTCAGTTCCCAGGGCCTGCAGGGAGCCAGTCCTGGGTGCCAGGGGAGGCCGGACAGTCCTCTCCTGGTGTCCAGAGGCTCTTGGGGACAGTGCCTCCTGGGGTCCCTGTGCTTCCCAGCCCCTGCCTCTAAGGCCTGGCAGATGGGGTGGAGGGTGGCATGGAGGCCAGGCTGCCGGTCATGCCCCTCCCCGGCCACTCTGCCTAGGGATGCCCCCAGACCGCCAGCAGCCTCTCCAGTTCTGCCCCCTCCAGGCTCCCTCCCTTACCCTGGGCTTCCGAGCTGCTGCCGACCTGCTCAGCCCCGTGGCCCTGCTGCGCTTCTCCGCGGTGGCCCGCGGCCAGGACCCGCCCACTGGAGACAGTAAGGAGCGGCCCCTCGGAGGGGGGCTCCACAGGCTGCTGTTGGCGGTGGACCCTCATGCCCTCGCCCGCTGCCCCCAGGGCTCAGCCACCTGCGCCGCCTGGGCCTGGTCTACTTCCTGTACCTCTTCCTGTTCTCCGGCCTGGAGTACACGCTGAGCTTCCTCACGCACCAGCGCTTCCAGTTCAGCAGGTGGGAGTGCGGGCCCTACGGGACCCCACCAGCGATGCCCTGCCTCTCCCCAGCCCCGGGCCCAGCCTAGGAACCCCGGTGGGAGGGTTGTCAGTGGGTCCTCTGGCTCCGCTTGGCAAAGCAGGGCGCTAAGGCTCCGCCCTCCCAGCATGCAGCAGGGGAAGATGTTTTTCTTCATCGGCCTCACCATGGCCACCATCCAGGGCACCTACGCCCGGCGGATTAGCCCTGGCGGGGAAATTGCAGCTGTGAAACGGGTATGGGGCTCCCCTGGAGGGGGAGGTGTCTCCTGAGCTCCGCTGGGCGCGGCAGGAGTGGAGCCTGAGGTCCACTGTCCCGCCGCAGGCCATCCTGCTGCTGGTCCCCGCCTTCCTTCTCATCGGCTGGGGGCGGTCGCTGCCTGTGCTGGGCCTGGGGCTGCTGCTGTACTCCTTTGGTGAGTGGGCCTGCCAGGGCCCGGGGGTGGGGGGCGCAGGGGGCTGGTGGCCACAGACCCCTCCAGGTCAGAGCCGTCTCCTGGGGTGACACTGCTCCCTCATGTCCCGTCAGCTGCTGCAGTCGTGGTGCCCTGCCTGTCCTCCGTGGTTGCTGGCTATGGTGAGGCCCTTCCCAACCAAGGACACTGGGGTGGGAAGAAGCCAGCAGGCACCTTAGGGCCCCTCCTTCTCCCCTACAGGCTCGCCTGGGCAGAAGGGCACAGTCATGGGCACGCTGCGGAGCCTGGGTGCCCTGGCCAGGGCGTTGGGGCCCATGGTGGCCGCCTCAGGTGAGGCTGTGGGGCACGTGATGTGCCCTGGGGAGCCAGGCCTCGGGGGCTGCTGGGTTGTGGTGGGGGCCTCCCTCAGCTGCCTAGCCGGCTCCTGCCTCCTCCGTTCTGGCCACTTAACCCCGTAGCTCAGTCCTCCCACTTGGGGGGGGGGGGGGAGGGTGCGGCCGGCCCACGTCATTGCTTGGCTCTCTCCCTCCAGTGTACTGGCTGATCGGGGCTCCGACCTGCTTCACCGCGTGCTCAGGGCTCTTCCTGCTCCCCTTCCTCCTCCTGCGGCCCCCGCGGCCCCCAGCACAGTCACTCAAGGCCGAGTAGCAGAGCCCGCCCAGCCAGGCGGAGGAGCTGAGGCAGGAAGTCAGTCAGAGGCCAGGCCAGGCCCACGCTGCCTGCTAGCGCGACCCTCCCTTCCTCCTGGGCCCAGACAGGAAGTCCAGGGCCTGCGGCCCAGGGGGCGCTCACAGCCTTCCTCCCACTGGACGGGAGGCCCTGCCTGGTGCACACAGCAGGGTCCCGGACTCCAGATCTTTCCAGGCTTCCGGTTTGCTTGTTTTTCACTCTGGAGAATAGGCTATCAGCCAGGCATGTCTGGATGACAAAATAAAGCAGCTGTTTTATACCAAGTGCCTCCTTCAGTACACAGCGTCCCTCGGCCACCACCACACCCAGCTCCACTGACCACACGCTGTCTCCCCCCCCGCACATGGGGGGCGGGGAGCCATGCACAGGGCCCTCCCAGAGGTCAGCACTGGCGGATGGAGGGAGCCTTCTGCCGGGCTGTCCCTGCCACAGATCCTGGCCCCTCCTGGCTGGCTGCAAGGCCCCGCAGCCCCGGGAGGAACAGGCTGCAGGGGCAGGGCAGCTCTGGCTTAGACGGTCCTCCCAGTCCAAAGTGGCAAATGGTGTCTCAAGAAATAAGACACTTTGGGGTCTCTTGGGGGAGAGACAAACTCCTCGAAGTTCCACTAAAGAAAAAGAAAAGGGATTAAAATGTAAAACCCCTCGGGTTGATAGGATACAGCGCGAAGAGCTTTATTTGTGAGTAAAGCATGTTACAATAAAGCAAGGACACAGGGCCTGCCCTCCCGAGCCTGTGTCCTGTCTGTGGCTAGACTTCATGTTGATACAAAGTTAAACTACAAAAGTGAATTAAAGTCATTGCATATGGATAGAGGCGCGTCAAAGGAGAGTCCATTAACGCAGGAGTAGGGGTGTCGAACTCAATCAGAGAAGGGGCCAAAATCTAAAATCCAGCCTAAATCGCGGGCCGAATGGTTTACTGAACAGTCATAAACTGTCATTGTGATGGAAACGCAGCGGAGTGCAGTGATGACAACGCGGTGCGGGCCACATTGCAAGGCCTGGCGGGACGGATTTGGCCCGCGGGCCTTGTGTTTGACACACGTGCGCAGGAGGGTGGTGATGGGGGGGCGGACACACAACAAACTGGCACACAAGCAGCTCGCTCTCCTTAG